TTTATTATACAAATTATTAAGATTAATAATATCTTTATTTACTATTACAAGAAAGTCGGTGGGTATTTCAAACGACTTAGAGGCATTATTATTATTATTTATTTTTGCTTCACAGATAAGGGTCTCGAGCAACAGGTCCATCATGGAGATTTCATGCAGGGCCTTGATATTTTTGGTCGATATGCGGTCAGAAGGACAGAGGGGGACATTCATCTATCCTTTTCAATATAATATATTTTATCCTTGATGCACAGTCCACAGGTTGCTTGCTGGGTGTGATGCTAATAATGTTACCGAAAGATTGTTAGATTATGAAGAAATAAATAAAAAAATAAGCAGTGTATAGGTTATTTTTGTGGACTGAACAAAACACCCTTATCTAAGTACTGAGCCATCTAATGGTAATTATAAGCTCGTTGAGCTCACAATATACGTTAGTCAAAGGCCCTAGTTGCTATTGCAACAATTTTTTGCATGACTAAGTATACACGTACAAATAACTTAGATAATTGTTCTATTAACACAAAGACTAAACACTAGCGGTATATAATGAGTTAAAAGTATATACCCGGTTTGGGTCAAAAAGAACATTATTTATAGACGATAGTGTGAGCATATTATGGGCTACTGGCAAAGTTGAGCTTGGTTCCTTCTCCAGCCTATGTTTTTTATTATAGCGACTATGGCGTAACATTCTTTTTGCTAGTATTTATAGAAGCAGAAAAAATGTTCTTAATATTTACTAACAGATGGGGCAAAACAATACCATTCGACGAGCCGTTAGGGTTTAGAACCCCAGAGCTGATGTTCTACTCAAAAAATAATGGTAATTATTTTGCAGAATAAAATAGAGAAGAAACTGGTGTTTTTTATTTCCGATAAGCGTTTGATTAAATTTGAGATTATGGAAGTAAGTATATATAAAAAATCAATTATATATTCCTACGTACAACAAAAATTTTGGGACGATTCCAAAATAAGATACCTATGTACATATGTACTCCTAAAGAAATCAAAATATAGAATTCCAGTTTAAGGATAAATTGTGTATTTTTTTAGTATAAGACCGCAGAATATAATCAGAAAAAGGATATGATCTACAAAAATGTATAAGAAGTACATATGAGGTAAAATAATGATGTGTATCACTATTGCTTATTATTATCGGCCTAAATAAGATATATCTCAGCTATCGCTATGCGTTTAAAAATAACACCATACTTGAATTAAATAAAGTTATAAGTGATAAGTATAGATTCTTTGTTAAATAAAATAACCTTTGTCCTGTGTAAAAAGTTACTAGAAAAAGAATAAAAATTAAGAGCCTTATACAGAAATAGTTAGATCGATTAGATTAGCATTAGCGTTAGTAATCAACGACATATTATAGTAAAATTAGAAATAACCCGATTCAATTTTTCCTACTGCATAATGATAATAGCTATCCTTTTTTAGACAAAGTTATGTTTGTTTTTGAGGGGCGGTTTATTTAACAAGCCATAAATATTTGTACATCCACAATAATTTTTTCGAATTTTCGATGTTCTACGTATTCGATAAAAATTTGATCATGATTTTTCAGACTGAATATTACTGAATATTCGAAACTCAATAAACACAATAAACATTTGATATTTCACCTACGTATTCCAATAGCACTTCAACAGCACTTTAGATGCAAAGCATCCTCCTTTCAGGAGACAGTGGCTTAGCGATTTTACATAGATTTGTTATAAAAAAGCCAACAGCACTTCAGATGCGAAGCATCCTCCTTTCAGGAGACAGTGGCTTAACAGTAGTTGATGACTTTTATATGTAGAATCATTGTATGTATGTAAAAAAAAAATTAATTAACATTACTGTATAAGATACAATTAAAGTAAACGGTATTATAAGTCATACGAAATTAAGTATACGGTTTGTATCACTTTTCTGCAGAATCATTTCTCACGGTAAATTTTTAATTTATAACGAATATTATGAATTTCTGGAAAGGCTTTTCCTATTATATACGATTCTATGATAAGAAAAAGCACGAATAGAACTTAAAAAGGCTATAAGGGTAATAAGTATAATGTTCTTTATCAGTAGTTTTGTTAAAATTCATATGTTACAGGGATTTTGAATTCTCAGATCGGTGAGATCGTTGACTTTTTCATTTCATAGTGCCGATCATTGAATCTAAGGGGGTTTAATTTACCTAAAAAATATCAAAAAAGATCAGTATTTAGAACTTATAACCGAACGGAGTTTCTTTATTCTGCTTTATTTTGTTATTTACACATAAGTTACTAATCGTGTAATTTTTTTAGCGGGTTTTTAGATCTAGCGAATGAATGGTATAAAATAAGTGATTTTTTGTTCTTTGTTGGGTGGGTTATAATATTTTTTGCTCGTATATATATTTTTTTACTTGCCTGTAATTTATTTTTAAAGTAATGTATTTGACATTTAATACAGTCTAAAAACAATTTTTTACTTACTATAATTTTTTGTATTTAGGAACGAAAAATGAGCAGTACTAACGATATCACCACCCCACAACCAATGACACCACCCCATGACTAATGACACCACCCTCATGACTAATGACACCACTACTACCACCATCACCACCACCTATGACACTACCACTCCCACAACTAATAACCCAACACCATCTAAACCAAACCCCATGGATATTACTCTAACTAGTAAGAAACCTTTTTATCTTTTGGTTTTGCCAACTTTACCAAAACGATATTTTTTAGAATTAAGTTTTTTATTTCATTAACATTAGGAAAGCATAAAGAGATACGAAATGATGGATTAAGGTCAAGTGATACTGTAACTTTGAGAACAAGATCTAATGATGGTTTATTAGATTTTAATAAACTCTAAAAATTTCTAAACAAAAAATAAATATGCACAAAGTGCAGATCTTCGACTCATAATTTTTTATTCGCATTATTTGTATATTGTCATCTCGGCAATAATAATTTTTATAAATAAAGGGAGGGTCTGCTGGGCTCCCAATTTTTTATTTTAACGCAATTATGTATGCGAAATTGAGCCAGCTTTATGACTCAAAGAGTCACCCCTAAAGGGCCTGATATAGAAACAAAAATAAATTTCTTCTTTACATATAAAAGTGCTTATGTGCCACATATTAGCAAAGCAGGCACAGCCAAATTTTATATATTTTTATCTGCTATTAAATAGCACTACTTCGTGGCAAGAATTTAACATTAGTATAATATTATCACATTCACATCGTTTATATATTCCCTCTGCTACTTTTTTGCAGGTTTTGCAATATAGGTATGAATGATAATTGCATTCGTTACAAACCTTACACCCGTGCTTCCACCCTTTAAAAATATGCCAACATTTGTATATTAATAGAAAAAATAATATACACGTGGTTATACAAACCTGTAATTAGTGTACTTGCATTTATGCCCTATCTTGTTATAAGCCTCATAAAGCAGGAGAATTTTATGAGGAAAAAAAGGTAAGCCATTAAGCAGTAACATTTATAGGAGTACATAAGTTTAAAAATAATTGATAAGCGTATACATTGACTTTATTTATAAAAACGATAAGCATGTTTAGATAATGTTAAAACATGGAAAAACTTCAGCAAGTGTGACCAGGCGGTCTCAGTTGAGTAAAAATTTAATATTCATCAAAATCGGAAAATTTTCGGTAGCTGTGACCAGAGTGGTCACACTTGAATAAAATTTGACACAGTAAATTTCATTGGCTTGCTTTTAAAACCTTAGCTTTTACATAATCAATATCATCCACACCCAGTCTCGAAATAGTTGACGCAGAAAAAAACTTAATACAATATATCTTTTCTTCCTCTCCAACCCCATCAAAGAGTTTAAAGATTTTTATTGCCCTTTCCTTTCTTTTTCTAAGATTAGCCTCTGAAACTCAGTCCTGGTCTGGAAAGTGCTCCTGAATTTTATCATTAACTAGAGAATTGGATGTATCATCACTATATGTTTTTTTATAATGTCAAACCATAACCTATACCCTTTCCCAAAATAATAATATGCATGAATCACTTCTAAAATAGTTTTTTTATTACTATCTTTGGCATTGATGATCTTATTATCTAGTTCACAAAAATTAACCGAGCTAATATCCATATTGGGGAATGTTTGTAGAGAAATAATACTACCAGAAGAGCTTTGCTGTGGAATTGGAGCAGACAATTCCTTGATAAGCTTTTTCAAAATTGGCAAATCTTCTCTTCTAACTGCTTTTTTTGCCTTCTTCTTGGGTGTAGATGAGTTGACATCCGTACCTTCATTGAAACATTTTTTACTACTGGTATCAGGTTGTTCTTCGCTATCAACACTTAATTCTTCCTCCTCTTCCGGTTCTATAATAGTTGATGGACATATAGGATATAGTTTTTGTGGATTATCAATACAATTGTAATGGATGATATGTTTGCAGGTTAAGTATATGAGTGGTTTCAAGGGGCCTTGAAGTTGGAGAGAGAATCGAAGAAAGCCTATAGGTAGGAGACATGAAGAAAGATCTTCAGAACATTTGGCACACCTCAAATTACTTTTGACTTGTTGGGTTGCTATATCCTCGATCTCTTCCATCAGTATAGGTGGTATCTATATAGGTGGTGAAGATAGGACGAATGTTTCGCACATCAAAGGTGAAATTCCAGTTGATTGGGAGGCCTCCTTGGGATTAGTTAACGGCAAATTGGAAACAGTGCCAAGGGGATTGGCTTGATCTAATATTTCCACATTATTTCCACAACCTGGGAATAGACATGTGTTTGGAACAGTAAGTAAAAGCTTTTTTTTGATACAGAGTCTATGAAAAAGGTGTCTGCATGCTAGATATGTGAGTGCTTTGAGAGGAGATATTAAAATATCATTGTCATATTCGGAGCATGGCCCTAGTTCTGTAATTTTTTACCCTTAATAATGACATTCTTGAAGGTTTTAAGAATATTATATGTGAGATTTTTGATGTTATTAATAGGAGCAGTTGATGTGAAAGTAGAGATAAACATATTCAAGAGTAAAATTTATGTGATTAGATTTGTATCCGTTAATATAAAGTATAACCAGATAAGTATTTCACAATTTTTTTTATACTTAGCTCATTTTTATACATTAAACACCCCCATGATTAAAAAAATTAGTTTGCAGATTTTATGAAATCTCATTTTGAATTTGGCGATCTGTTCATTCACGAATTATTTAGTATGGGCAAAGACTTGATCCAAAGGATCATCGCTTGATCTTTGCTGGCAATTGTGGATAAATAATTTAGCTTAAGGGTAGACCAAAAGGGTCATTGCTCTGCAATAGATGCGGTTAATGAGTTGGTTAGTACTGAAATACTTCTATTCTGATCTCTAATTCATGGATTTAGGCTCGAAGAGCCATTTCTTTGAAATAAAACACATGACATCGCTCCACTGAGGCTCATTATAACGTCATGTAATTTCAAAGTTATGATGTGGTTATAATTATTTTCAGATTGAATTTGCTGTATTCACTTAATTTATTTATTTCTGTGCATTAATTATATTACCATATTATAACAATCATGACGAGTAATACTAATAATAATACTGATTCAAGTAAAAAATTTTCTCTATTATACGAGGTGCTTTTATATAAGAAAAAAGATATAACAGCTATTCAGAAAAAACTTGGTATTAACAGTTATATAAATCAAACAGCAGTGTCGAAGAGCAAGAAAGCGAAAAAACTTTCCAATTCATATGAATTGTTGTTAGAATTAGTGAGAGATTTAATATCTATATAGGGGAAACTTGGTATAAATATCAATTCCATTTTAGAAGCGAAACTTAGAAGAGATAAAGCCTTTTCAGATAAACCAATTAGATTATTTGATTTGCTTTTATGCTTAGAAGATGATATAACGACAATTCAGGAAAAAATCAGTATTGTCAGTTATACTAATCAAGAAATAGCTGATAAAAATGCGAGAGTGTACCTCCAGAAGTTTGAGAAATTCTACAGCCCCTTAGAAGATGATCCAGATGTGCTAATGAAGAAATTCGTTGATAAGGGGGTAAAAAAAATTATAGTTTACTGGTGAGGGACTACTATTATTTCTGAATGTTTCTCTTCAAACAATAGCATGAGATTTTTGTCAAAAAATCGGCTAGCGACAATCAGTGCCCATGTCTAGAATCAAAAGTAAAACAAGAAAAATTATCACAGATATATATACATCACAGCAAATAAAAATTCTTTGTTTGAAATTAGCTGGAGGCTGATTACCCATTCTCCACTACTAAATAAAATTATTTGTAATCCACGATATGCATTTCCAGATATTCTAGCATTGATGAGAATGAAATATATACACAAGTTTTTGAAGCAAAGAAGCGTGATTAGTAATTGTATAGATCTATAATATCTGATATCTTAGTATTTTTTTTCTCTAGTTGTTGGAGCAATTGGTCTGTCATTTATCATACCATAATACTCAACTGATGAAGCATGGCCTATCTTATGTCTACATGCCAATTGCTGTAAATATTGATGGCCAGTATCATTCTTACCTCCATGTACTCTAGAAGCATGATTAGCACCTATTTTTCTTAACATATATGAGGTAATTCTATGGCGACTTAAGAATTGATTAAGAGGTGCAACATTAGTATTCCCATTCTTATCTTTTAATGAGAAGAAAAATTTATCTGGTATTGATTTCTGAATCCAGATAAGTAATTCTCTTGCCTGTATTGGATTTTTTTCTATTGAAAGGAATGGTCGAGGTTCTTTTACCTCACCTTTATTTTTTGCATAACCAATACAGTACCAAGAATGGTCAAGATTATACCATGACTCATGACTTGGTTTGTATCAGTTGATACGAAGATTTTCCATATCTGCTGATCGCATACATAGCATTATCATTATGTCTATTAGATTTTGCATTGAAGAAGGCTTGGTAATATTACATTCGTTAAGTTTTTCCTAAACTTTTTCTAGATAAAAGAACTTGGGACAATCATAACCATTAATTCCACGAAGTATACACTTTCTTGCTTGAATCTGATTTGCTTCTTTAGTAATAAAAGATATTTTTGTTGCCTCAATGATGAGATAATCAGCTCCTAAGCTACGCAACTCTTTCTATAATAAATTAAGACAAGAATTTCCTGCAACAGTAGTAGAAGCAGAAGAAGCCAAGTCATATGCTATTATATTTATTTCTTCAGGTGAGAGATTATTTTTTATAATATCCTGGGCAATAATTTTAATGGAATCTCTTTCATCAACATGTCTCCCAGAAGCTTGAATAGAAATAAGAGTATTAGCTTGCTCCTTACTTAATCTCAATTCTTGGAAACGTCTTTTGGCCTGATCTCTGGCTTTTTGGGCCTGCTCTTTTGTCTTGTCATTTGAAAGTTTACTAGCCAACTCTTCGACATAACTACTAAGCTGCGGTAAACTAGTTTGTAGAGTCAATTTGTAGTGTTTTACAAATGATGTAGTGATTTTTGCCATGGTTAGTATAGCGAAGCTAGTGTCTTTGATACATGTTAATTGAGATGGTTTATATAGACTATTTTCGTCCGATATATACTATAGGGATTCTTTTTTCAAATTGAAATTAATTACGCTTTTTTCTCCTATACCTAGAAAAAAAGAGTTTATGTACTTGCATAAGCAAGAGTAGTATGTCGATTTGAAATTTACTAACATA